TAACTTTTTCTTTTCTTTTTTTTTTTTATGGTAGGTATAAATAAGACCAAATTGTCAAATCACAGCTATTCTGTGTGCTACCTATACAAATAGGTCTGATTTCTGGTGAGTCATAAAACAATTACTGCTGAATTCCTCTGACTCTTTGATATCTAGCTCTTCCACAGAGCTTCAAAGCTAGTCTCCAGGACTTTTCTTGGGGCACTGAAAAACAAACTCAACAGAAACATAGATGATAAAATGTTCCCACTCCTATAAACACACAAAGGCATAACTATAGAAGTTAAACCATTCTAAAACATTGGGGTGAGGATTTTTCCCCCAGGAGAATTCAACAGATCCAAGAATTCTGAATTGGTTTTAGCAAATGTGAATCAACTACAAGTTCGGTAGGTGTTACAAACCATTTTCAAGCCCCCTAAACCTAAGAATTACTTTGTCTCCAGAGAAATTTTCTCATTTACTAAAATAACCTATCCTCTGGGAATTTCCTGAGACGGAAGGAAAGTTCGGCTCCTTGAGCACATAAATAACTATACAGCATAGTATTTATTCAATGTAACAAAACTCATTCAACCTAGGAGCTCTGAATAAGGTTAAATTTGGTCAGAATACCAATAGAGGAAATTTATGTATGGGCAACTGTATATTTTGACTATAAACTAACAGGACTTCATTCCCACACAGCTCTTGAAAACAAAAATCACCATTTTGTAAGAAGGGTGGCATACAAACACAAATACCTAACACATATAGCACACACATGTCCTTGAAGTAACAGGCTGTTTCCTGTTAAGCCCCAGCAAAAACAAAACATCTATTACAAGGAAAGAAACAATTATAGAAACAATCAGGCATTCTGGAGGGGCTGCAAATATAACATGATTATAAAATCTTACACTCCCCAGGTTCTTTTAATAAAATTTGACAATGTTTATACACACGCACAAACAACACACTCCTTCACACAAAATACACATGTTTATGCATCCGTATCTTTTTCTATACCTAAAAAGAAAGACACATCACTGTTTTTTACAATTCATCCTACAATGGCTTCATGCCAAATCAGTTTTCCCCAAACCCAATATCTTGTGCAGCTTTATAATAATACATCATGCTTTCACAGTTTGCAAACATGAAGTTGAACAGTACAGGTAATATTAACTCTCTATATTTAAAATTTTAGATTCGTGCACAAAAAGTAAAAGCTACCTCTTCACCCCAAATCAACATTAAATTTCTCCCTTCCTTTCTACACCACTAGCAAGAATTAAGCACTTCTAAAACATACAACCAGATTTATTTAGGCATGCTATGATCATATGCATGGACTCACACTGACACACACACACACACACACACACACACCCCTAAGGGCATATATGGCCACATTATTTTAAAAATCTGTAACTTAAGGATACTACAGGCTCATGAAAATTTAATTGAAAATTTAATTTTGTGCATAAATTTGTGAAATACACACAAAGTCAACTCTTAGAAGTGCACAGATGAGCCTACTCATTATAATCTGAAAGCTTGCCGCTGAAAATCAGAGCCACCTGTTTATACCTCTGATCTCAGGAACATAGCTTTTATCTCTCAGGTCAAAGCTGACAACCAAAGTTAGTACTAAGCTTCCTAATAACAATGTAATTATGCAATCTCTCAAACTTAATTATATTTTTGCCTGGATTTTCTTTCTAACCAAGGCCAAATGCATTAATATACAACAATATTCTCAACATGAATGATAAAAAATGCATTAAAAGTAACCTTTAAACCATGCTATTAACTGATTTTATTCTATTTTGGCACGTTTGAAGTAACTCATCTAAGGATTAGTTAGGCTTTTCTACACTTCTTTTTATCAGGACTCTACCATTCTTGATTTAGTTTTGAGAGAAAAGGGTTTGCAAAAACTATAATAATCTCACAGCTGGAGATGGCTGGAAAGTCCGTTAGTACTCATTGTGCCCTTAATTTGCAGGAAGCCTTTGTGCTGTTCTACTCCTCATTTTACATGCTGAGCAGTTTTCACTGATAAAGTACTTATAGACCAGTTATTTTAGATTAATGAAAAGTCCAGAAAAACTTTATTTAAAATGGTTGTGAACTTTCTCTTTAAAACACTGAAATGTATCATTAAGAGCACTGACTGTGCATGAAAATCTTTAACAATCTGCCTCAATTATCTGCATGTGAGTAGGTAAAGGGAGGCCCAGAGTTTTTAGAGTATTATTTTCAAACAGAGAAGGAATCCAAAATTTCAGACTATGAATTCGGATGGAATGGCCAAAGCCTCAGGGCAAACATGCTGATTTAATCACACAGCAGTGGACTTCAGGATCTCGCCCTCTTCAGCTTTAACAATAAAGTATTTCCCTGCCCTTTAAACCTATAGCAATAACTTGAACACATTATACAAGAACACCCGACATCACTGGGATTTTGTCGGAATTTTTAACATTATGACATCAATTGCAGCAGCAGATGGTATTGTTCTGATTTACCCTTATCCACAAGGAGACTTTGTCAATGACTTAATATTTCCTCTGAACTTCAGCATAAAAACAGATATTTAAATACATACACTGATCAAGGATTACAAGTCAAATTCAATTTTCACAATTCCCTGAAAACCTTCAGGCACAGAATGCAAAGTCAAACTTTGAAAAGTCTAAATTACAGTTTTTACATCTGCTTGACCATGAGCAAAAAATGTTGAAATTTGTGATATTCCCAGACATGAAAGTACAGCAGAGTGCTAAAACTGCTCATTTTCTGCTACACTACATTCCTGTAAATCAGAAGTTCCAGTCATAATCATAGAGATTCGTATCTAACATAACAAGTAAAACATTCACATGGAACATAGCAAGTGTATCTACAACAGAGAAATGACAGTTTGAAAGCAACAGGGTTAAACCTTTCTTTTGCGAGGCCACTGGCAAAATCTACAGCAGCTGTCTCGCTTTGCCTTTAACAATCATAGCAAAAGCTCAAGGAAGTGATCCAATGTAGCACTAGTCTTTACCAACTAGACCATTTCTAATTTTCAACCAAGGGAAGGGATAACAAAAACAAAAGTACTCTTCAGCCACTAAGTTTACCTGACAAGCTAATTTTTACCAACCTTGAATATTTCACATATACTGCCACAAGAGCTGCATCTGGTGTGTGGAGACAATTTTAACTTTTTAAATATTGGGTCAGATAGCTATCACTCGTTAAACCACTTATAAAAACTACTGGAAAACTTTTTAGCTATGGTAGAATAGTACTGAGCTTTAAAAACAGGAAGGGGGGCAACATTTAGTCATTGCTATAAACTATTGAGCCACAGATCTTTGATTGTATCAGTGAAGAAAACTGCAAAAGTCATAACTTTTCGTGATTGCTTGTAACCTAAAACAATTGTATATTTTTTATGGAAGAAACAAATTCAGTTCCTCCAGAATTAGTTTTTCCCCTAAAACTATTAACACTATGTAAAACAAATGGAAAAAAGAAACTCTCACGATATATTATCTACTTACATACCATGGACATCCCATACCTACTCTTAAATTCTTTTCTACTTACCCTGTGAAAGGTATGTCAGACACCAAACTCATTAAGATTTATAGATTTTTTTTAAAACTAAATTTGAAAGCTAACCACCTTCAAATAGAAACCAACTTTTTGATTGTGAAGAAGGAAAACAGCATTGCATGCTCCAGAAGCACAGAGTTATCACAATGGTTAATAACCATAGGTTTGTACTACAGAGAACCTCCAAAACGACTTTAAACTACAAAAATGGGAATAGGCATGACTGCAACATTCCTATTCTCAATATTTATCTTGACTATATAAACATATTATTTTACTCAAGTAAGCTTGCCTAAAAAGCAATTTTTTTTTCTAAAGGCCAATTTCTATTCAGTATTTATTTAATTTGTAATCCTAATCCTGTTTACTTCCACAGAGGTTTGGGCTAGAGCAATTTCAGTTAATTTTCAGCTCAGTATACATTTATATCACATGCCAAAGTGAAATAAACTGATTACGAACATATCTGATACCCTTTCTGATTATAAGTAGATCCTATCATGTTATATCACCTCAAATTGGAGAACCATAGCTTTCACTGTTTAGCATTTGAAAATGACTATTGCATGTTGGTCTCCTAAAGGAGTAAAATTATTTTAAAACTATGAATTAAAATATACACACAAATAGATATTCTTAAATTGACATGTTAATGAATGATCTACTTGTTTCAAAAAGTAAATCCCAAATATTGAACTAATATGCTATTCTTTCAGAGATTACAACTATAAATTCTTCAAATAAAATTAATTGGTTTGCTAAGTAACTAATGATTAGAATCCAATAAAATATACTATCTGTGTATATTTTCTGTGGCTCAGAATTTAACTGGTTATGTTTAATCTGATACTCTTAGTGGGTCTTGGAGCCTCCGCCTGCAAAATCTCCCATAGAGATGCAAGACCACCCATTGAAAATAGTACAACATTATTGCCTCAAGCAAGAAGCTGGTACATAGGACTGATTATTCAAGTCTTTTAAATACTATTTTATTGAGGGATTGTAGGAGGTAGAAAAGGGGGAGCAGGGGGATTCGTGAGTGGATGGGGGAGGAAAATTCAGACAGGGAAGAAAAAAACAGAAATTTCTAAAGCAGAGGTTCCTGTCGTCCCCCCTTACCATCCTCTCCCATTTTTTAAACAGCTATGTAAACAAAGTAATAAGTGCTCAATTTCAGAGAGAATTACATTATACTCCATTTGAACAGGCTACAAAGTACTTTTATTTGAAAAGCTGCTTCTCCTCTGTTATAAACAATTTTACTCTGAACCAATTTCAGACAAGAGAAGATGGCTAGGGAGTGTGGGAGGTGGAGTTTGGAAAAATTCACTCAGTGTCTTTCAATGTCTTCAACAGTTGATCCAATAAAGATTCTTTAGAGAAAACTTTGTCTATTTTTTTTCTCCAAGTAAGCAAATCATACAGGAGGGCTTTTCTTTTCTAGGGTAGTGCACCCTGTCTCTTTAAATTCCTGGCCTGCCCCATTTCCCACGCATTCAATGAAAGCCCCACGTTTGCTGGCCTCCAGCCCACAATGTCAAGTAGTTTTCTTGCTATTGAATTTCAAGATTATTCTTTTGGATCATTTGCCCTTTAGTTTTAAGCACGCCAAAGCAAAAATAATGTCTTTCTACAATAACATAAAGAAAACGCTGAGGTCTTTACAAGTCTACAAGTAGAGAACACCTTGTCCTTTGGTTCCCCTTTCACTGCAAAATATGCTCCCACTCTACATGCTCCCAATAAGGGCCATTTATACACTGTTTGGGTGCATCTCAGCTTTGTCCATCCTATAACACAGTTTCATGAGTATGCTTATTTTATTCAGTCGCAAATTTGTTATCTCCACCAATCTATAATATTTAAACCAAGTCTTCATTTTGCTCAAAGTCTCAAGTCTTCCACTTGGTCTCTTGGGTATGTGGTTAAAATAAGTTTTAGAACAATCACACTATATTAAAGGAATTCTTTCATTATTTTTTGCAGCTAAGACATCCATATACATTAATTTACCAATAAAAATCACAGGTAAATACTGTGAGCTGTTGTCAGAGTGCCAAAGAGTGTTTTTCTCTCCTTTTCAAACATACCTTAATCCTGAAGAAAAGAATCCAGGCCATTATGAATCCCTCGGAAGGAATAAAAATAGTGAAGCGGCAATTGATCAGAACTAAATTAAATCCATGGAAAATATTATTCTAAGTGTTAGCAAACAGAAATTGAAGTGACAGTTTTATCCAAGTAGCTCATTAAAACTGTCCGGATCTCAAACATCACTTTTTGTATCTGACAAACATTCTAAGGTAGAGTTAACCTAACATTACAAATTTTGTTAAAAGTATCTAATACTCAGGGGAAAATACCCTTCTCTTTCATTTCTCCCATAACTTTATTATGTAATGATGTACAACACACATGTATTTTCTTACATTAGCAAAGCTAAAATAGTTCCTCATTAGTCCTAACAGCTTGGACCTTTAATCATGCGAGTACTAGACTGCAGGAATACTTTTGAGAGCGATTAACCCTTTATTTTTCAGAAGTTATTTATTGTAGTTTTGTTTATGGGATATTCACATTTCCACCTAAAAACTTATATTTTATGACAAATATAAAATCAGATAAAAGAATTTCAGTATAAGATACTTGCATTTATGCAGTTATATATTAATTCTCCATCCACAAAGATTTTTCCCTGTCCTAAGCTCGTTATTTATACCTTATTTTTGGTACTGGTTTTGGTTCTTCTTACATCCTATAATTTCACATTTACTTTTCAAATCATATACAAATCCACAAACCAGAAATGTGTCTTTAAATTCCAGTTTATTCTTAACACCATGATCCTACTTATTTATAACATCATTTACTTGTAACACCATCATCATATACCTAGCGTCCTTTCGCTTACAGTGAATTCTTATAGTGCTAGTAAAATTCTGAACATGACACATCAAGATAAACATTTAACATAGTATTAACATAGTCATACTTGCCAAAAGCTCCAGAAAGGAAAAAGCCTAAGCTTTTCAAAAATTTTCTAAGTACTTCAGAAAGACACACAGTCAGCTCTCCATATCAGCTGGTCCCAAGTCACAGATTCAAGAAATCACAAACTGAAAATACTCAAAAACAATTACATCTTCACTGAATATGCATAGAATTTTTTCTTGTCATTCCATGAACAATACAACTATTTACCTATCATTCACATTATATTAGGTGCTATAAAAATATTGACATATAAAAAATGATTAAAATACACAAAAGGATTGCGTAATAAGTACTATCTTTTTATAGAAGACTTAAATATCCCCAGGTGTTGAATATGAGGAATGAAGAAGCAGAGGCTCTAAAATGAATTCCCCCATAAAGACTGACAGATGAGTATACTAAAATATTCAAAATGCCTATCATAAAACATATCAGACATAAATAACACATACTTATAAATCAGACTAATCTCATTCTTTTTACAATTTCAACACACATTAATTACTAATAAAGAACATCATGCACATGTTTCTCTTTGAAACTCTTGATCAACTTATGAAAAACCTGTGCCTATGTTCAAACCAATATTAAAGGAGAAGATATAAGATGACCAAATGGTAAAAATCTGAAAGAACTAAATACGAAAATGTTCCTTGGGAGAGGCAGTCCTCTTCATGTTCCAAATAAAATTGTTTTTAGAAAAACTAAGTACTTCATTTAAGAGACGTTAAAAATTAAATGCAATACCACATCTTCCATTGCCTATCTTGACAACTGGTTTACAGCTGATACTTAATGAACAGCAGTTATTTCATTGTTGTAAAATGGCAGATGATGAGTTTACTTTGTTTTTTTTAAATTAAGAAAAATAGCTTTTTAAGTTCTTGGTTTTTTTTTTTTTTTAAGAAAAGCCCCACATAGATTATTCAACCCAAACTCATCCTTTCTACCTCCCACAACAGGATCTTTCCTGCCACAATGCTAAGCTATGCTCCCATCGGTTACTGGAATACATCTGACTCTCACTTTTAAAGCTACAAAACTAGTTGTGGTTCCTGGATTGGGCAGTTGAAAAAAACCTGAGAGTTCTGGCCAAGTGTTTCAAATCTATCTAGCATTTTGAAAAGAAATCCAACATAAGTGAAGAAAGAACAAGGGAAAAAAACAGGAAAGTGGGGAGTTCATCTTTACCTATTACAAAAGTTGAAAAGTTCCGTTCCAGAAAATGTGAGTCTCAGAAGACACAATGTTTCCTGCTAAATTTAAACTATGGTTCTGTTTACACAAAGTCAATTATTGGAGGTACAGAAGAAATGAGTTTCAGAACAATGAGTAATAATTTACAAGTTAGGAGCATGGAAGCTAAACTCAGGGATTTTTAAAACCCCTTTTCTGACTTGAAAGATCTGCCTTCATATCATACTGGTGCCAAAAACTTGCCTTGTATTAATAGCGGCATCAGCAGTACCTGTCAACAATAGAAGTCCCATTTCATCGGATGTAAACTCTAAGGCCACATAAAAGAAACAATAGATACATAAACAAGGGGAGAGGGGTGCTAGACCAGCTGAACACACCCTATCTTGTTTTGTCCCATGTTTCACATCAGAAGGAAGTAACTTCCTGCCTGCCCCTGACTTCTCTGTGCATACACAGAAGTCATGCAACAAGCATAAGATAATCTTGAAACAAACCATCATTTATAAATTACCTGCTGCACTAACCACACAAATCCTGGCATTTATTATTTCAAATCTCCACTTTTCACTAATAGATACCATAAAAGAGTTACTTCAGATATAGGTATGGAGGGAAAAAAAAATCAAAGGAAGTTCTTTTGTATGATAAAATCATGATTCTAGGCCCAGCCAGGTGGTCTAGTGGCTAAACTCCCTAAATGTGCTGGGATCCCATATGGGCATCAGTCCTGATCCTGGCACCCCCGCTTCCCATCCAGCTCCCTGCTTGTTGCCTGGAAAAGCAGTCGAGGATGGCACAAAGCCTTGGGACCCTGCACTCAAATGGGAGACCCCGAAAAGAGCTCCTGGCTTCTGGCTTGGGATCAGCTCAGCTCCAACCACTGCGGCCACTTGGGGAGCAAACCAGTGGATAGATCTTCTCTTCCTTTCCTCCTCTCTGTATATCTGACTTCCCAATAAAAATAAATAAATCTTTTAAAAAAATGTTTCTTCAAAACAATGAAAACTCTTTATTCAGCAACACCCATTTACTGGAGGCACTTTGAATAAAATGTGTGGATAACAGATACCTAGTTGGCAATGAACCCTAATTTTAAGTATGCAAGGCATTTTAAATGTTTATTGAAATGAATAGATATCCAGTATAATCAGATAGTAGAGGGAGCAGGACACAAAAACCACTCGCAAAAAATCAAAAAGCATTTTGCAAACTAAATTCCAATCTTGAAACATCTAGAGATTCGATCATTATTACATTGTCGGAAATCGCTAGCACATTCTCATACTTTGCTTCTAACCTGGTATTGATGGGAAATAACTGATGGGTTCTGCTGCATAGGAACAAAGAAAAAGATGCAGTTTTGACCAAAGTAAGTATTTGAAAATAGAAAAAAAATGTATTAATGTCAAATCAGTTTTCTATGGGAAATGACTGAGTTAAAATCAACTAAGCATCTTCAAAATCACTAATACACACTATTTCAAATATACTGGCCTCAGAGTCAGGAGGTAAAGTCATAATTTTTGTTAATAAAAAATGATGGTGTATTGATTTTTATCCAAAAAGTTAATTGTTAACTGCAAAATACCAACTAAATCACACCCACATGCTAGCCTTATCTGTTTTAGAAATTCAGTAACAGCCTTCTTCAGGTCACAACCCCCACAAACTTGCTATAGTTGAATGAAAGGTTTACGTCAAGGAACATTATTTCTTAAAATAACCCTTCTGTTTTATATCCATCTATATAATTGCAATCCTACTGTGTGGTGAGGTGAGAAAAAAATATGAAGAGTTAACTGCCATTCAGTCACAATTTCATTTTTTATAATTTACTCTCAAAGAAAAAAAGCATCAATACCAATAAAATGAATTTTCATTTTTGCCTGAAAGTAACTATTGAACTTTTTTCTGTAAATAGCACCTACCATGGTTACCCTGTTAATTAAACCCTGGATCATGTCTACAAACGCAGTTATTACTGAACATTTGTCTGCTAATATAAATGAATAATTACTCAACGTTTTAAAAGTAAACATTGACCACCATTTATTACCAGCTATCTTTGCATGGGCACACTTGTGACTCATTGTGTCTACATGCAAGATCACTCCACATTTCTAGGCTTCTGATTAAAAGTAAAATGAGAAGGTAAACAAAGAGGAAGAATGTCAAGTGTCCCTTCCAGCCATAAAAGACACAAGCACACTGCAGGCAAGGGCCTCTTCTGCTTACAGCTCTCTGAATGCCTCACTGTAACCTGCAAATATAAAACTTTTTGGTTAAAAGACATTATAATGCCTACAAATCACATTCTCTTCAAGACCATAAAACTAAAGAAAACTAAACAACACATATCAATCTGACTAAACTAAAAATTTGCATAAGGTAAAAGAGACCATCAATTAGGCTGTCAAAGAAATAACCAGAACACAGTATTTTCAACACTAAAGGATTAACATCCTACAGACAAGAAAGACAAGCATCTCAATTTTTAAAAGGTTATAAAAATAATTCACTACAAAAGAAATGTAAACGGTCAATAGACATACATTAAATGCTTAACTCTAGTAAGAACTACAGAAATGCAAATAAAAAGATATATTTTAACTATCAAAAACCAGAAATACTGAAATTGTCAATATTGGCAAAAATGTAGAGAAAAATGGCATTCATTGCCTGACAGAATATGAACCGTCACAGCTACTTCATGGAACATCTCATACAAATGAAAACACACTTGCCTTCACAGCAACAACCCCATCTCTAGGCTATTTCCAAGCTCGTGCTCATGTGAACAAGGTAACAGGTACAAAGACTTTTACTGTACAAAACAGAAAATGATCTGTACCCCCTCTTAACAAGGACCAGAAAGGTACAGGAAACACTAAGGGAAATTAAAGGGAGTAAATTGGCTCCCTATAGATGAAATATGGATAGCTTCAAAAACACATTGAATGAATAAAAAAGATGCAAAATTATTCCTCATGAAAACATTCTGTATTAAACAGTGATGGTTATACAACCTTTTGAATATATCAGAAACCATTGAACAGGTTACTTTATAAAGTAAATTTTATGGCATTTGAATTATCTGTCAACCAAAAAGAGAGCTTCATCTCATGTAATACTGTTCAGCTGATTTTAAAATGTAAGACTGTAAGTGATATAAATGGGCAAATGTGGATAAACACAACAGAATAAAGAACAAGGAGTTGGAAGCAAAGGCTGCGAAGCATTCATAACTTCAACTAGGCCTCTGATCCTTCCCTGATATCAAAACAAGGCATCAAATATGATAAAATAAAAATATTTGTTCATTCTTGATAATGAGGATTTGAACATTTGCTGTATCTTAACTTGTTTTTTCCTGTACTCTTTGGGGAAGTGTAGGTTTAAAAAAGTCACCAATAATTGCCAAGGGCACAAACCAGGCACATCCCAAAAGATAATCAATAAACCAATACAAGTACATACACACAAAAGGACTTGTGGCACTACTTAGCAAATAAATGCAAATTGGGTTTATATCACAGATAGGCAAAGATTTTTTAAAGCCATTAATTTTCAATATTGGCAATGCTGTGGGTAACGGGCATTTTCTAAACCACAAGTAAGCAAAACATGATTCACTCTTCTTAGGGGAATGTTTACTAATACATATCAAAATTTTAAATGTTTGTAGCTTCGACTCAGATACCACCTTTCTGGAAACTTAACATGGCAAGTTATTAAGAACAAAAGCAAAAACCAAAAAAAAAAAAAAAACCCCAAAAAATATTGCCGAAGCAGGCTATCTCATATGTTTCTTAACAAATTAAAATTAGGAATGACCTAATGATTCAAAAGTATGATCATTACCTTACAAAAGTATGCTTTGGCCAAATATGGACCTTACATGTTACAATAGTCCCATTAGTGATATCTAAGCCATCTTAGTCCATAAAAGCTGTTGTTGACACAATGAATAAATAGCATAACAACACATTACTCAGAATGTGCCCCATCATTAAACAACTATGTAAAAATTCATTGTAGCAACTAAAATTCAGCAATTTCAGAAGGTGAAATTCATAAGTGTAGGGATGGTAATCTGAGCTTTATCCATAGCTCAAGTGTGCTAAGCTTCAAATCACACGCAGTAGGTGCTCCAAAACACACTTGGTGAATGAACTAGTAATTATTAATACTGTTCATGTGTGACTATGTAGTAATAAGCAGATGCCTATCTCAGTACTAATTATGGTTTTGAAAATCCTACATGACTTCTTTCTCTGGTTTTCTATGGCTTGATCTGTCTATGATATATGCAGATCCATAAATCAGGAAAAACTGCAAAAATGCATTCTTCATAAACACTACAATGTTCAACTGGGTCATGAAATTCCTCCACTTCTATTAAACCTCTTTTGAAGACTAAACCAAAGAATTGAAAAAAAAAAAAAACCACGAAGAGGTTCTATTATCTTAGAGCTATAAAAGGTATGTTAAATATTACAGATCATTTGCAATAGATGATTAGAAAAGAGATGAAGACCAGCCCACTGAAGTCCCATTAGAAAGAACCTCAAAAAAAAAAAAATGGTTCCTTTGAAAGAGTTATAGGAGGGAAGGGAATAAATTAAAAAAAAAAAAAAAAAAGGTTCCACAGAACTACACCTTCCACACAGAGTCAGCTAAAATAATGCATATAAAAGATTTCTGCTCAATACAGGGCATATGCCATGGAACAGACAGTAACAATAAGTATAACACACAACTCAAATTTGAAATAATCTCTGCAAACAAAATTTAGATAATTATTAAGCTGGAACTTAACAAGGTAAATACTCTTGATATTAAGTAGATATGTTTATGAACAACTAATAGTAGTGGCTTTAAAAATCAACTACCATATACACCAGGACAATTTTTCTATATATGTCAGATTCTATGATAAATGTATAAGTGATTCTCAGCAAGGAGCCCTCATCATCCCAAATATCTTTGCATGTGACTGGCACAGTTCAAACTACTTTCCTTGTAGGGCACCACCTGCTTCTTCACTCTCATTCTCTTGGTGTCTTCCTGAGGATACATGATGTGTGATAAGAAAACAGTACTGAAGTTTATAACAGCAACCAGTTGTGTTCTACTAAACTAACCTTTAAAGAAATGGGTTAAAAGAAATAAACGCGGGATAATGCTGCTCTTTCACTTAATTTCATTAAAATGAAATGTTTATCAGCCTTATTGTTTTTAACTTCAAGCAAATTAGCAATTTGTTTTACATTCTTTAGTTTTAATTTCTAATAGAGCAAAATCAACACATACAATATACAGAAAAGCTCTTAGGTGTCCTCAACTTATAAAAGTACAAAGAAAGTTAGTTTCATCTTAAATCCTGTAAGTTTGAAAACAGCTGATTCCTATTGAATCCTCAATTTAGAAAGTGATAATTCTTTCCTATCCTTTTCTGCCATGACACAAATGAGAAAGCAGACCCAAAAGTAACTTGCCCAGGATCACACAAGGAGCCTCTTAAACCAGTCTTCAATTATAACTCTGGAATTCATGACCTTAATTTTTTTTCACTGTCTACCCAAGTCAATTAAAGATCACGTTTAGATAGTTACAGGATAATCCTATTAAAAAGGCAATATTCCAGATTGGTTCTGGATTCATCTTTCAGTTTTATAAAGTGGTATGTGTTAACTGTAATGCACTGAAGATAAAGAATTTTTATTTTTTAAATTAAACACTACAAAAATGACCTCCCATTACCATCAACATCACAGGCACCCACTGAAGAATATTCCTGGCCATTTCTGCACAAGGTTATTTATTTACACAAATATACACATGTCCTTTTTGAAATGTTAGTATGTTTCTTAACTGGAATAATGTTGATTTAGCAACTTGCCTTATTTCACTTGATCCTTCTTAAAGATCTTGCTGAATCTGTAAGTAGATTGCTCTCTTATTATGCACTATAATCATTTAGCTAGGGGCCCCTCAGTTCACCTATACATGTTTACAAATTTTTGTTACCTCAAAGCAGTCACATGAAACACATTATTATCTTGGTGTACTTACAAAGTTATATCTGCCAGAAATAATTTTCTGGAATAATAGGTATAACCACTTAAAAATCTTGATACAGTCTGCCAAATATTCTCCAGAAAGTCCATGCCCGGTTGAAATTATCCCCAAAAACATGTGAATCTCTAACAACTCAGTTTTCAACTGCTTTGAAAACTTATGCTTTGTATTGCTTCAAAATTCTTAGTGGTAAAACTGTTCTCACTGGTCATGCTAATTCCACCCAGAACTCTACACACACAAAAAGCCACTCATCTTCATTCATTTCTTAAACTTTTTAAATGCTACACACCAAAAAAATACACCAGGTGCAAACAATATCTTTAACTAGCAATCCTTCACATTTAAATAATTTGGTAATAAGTTATCCAGATTCTTTCCCAAGACCACACAACACAAATCAGAACTATGCAATAAAGCTAGGCTCAAACACTTCGATCAAAGGAAAATTGTAAGGGTGGATTTATTGTGCTTTATCTGCACATGCTAAGGACTAAAGGCTACAAATAAAAAGCTATCAAATCATACCAGTAGCCAAATTAGCTTACATAAAATAAGCAACAGATTTCATGTCATAAATGTCAGTGGAACTCACTGTAATAGTAAAAATGACTATAATTGCAAAGAAAGTTCACTCAAATTCACATCATACCGGAAATGAAAACATGAATATTTTAAATGAATTGTTTTGATTGTGACTATTCATTTAGGTCATATCAGACTAATATAAATCCTTGGCACTAATAAATAAGATACGATCTTTTTTTGCAAGTAGATACTTTTGAATTGTATCACTCTCCTACCTGCTTATTCTGTAATGCCTAATGGATATTCCAGGCTTCACTATTCCATCAAAATCTCTTTCCTGCGACTTTGTGCCATTAGTTTTAAATTAAAGGTCTCCCACACATCTTTGTGACACAGTGAAACCTCATTAATTCAAATCCAATTAGCTCAATTCTAAAACGGTATATGTAATTCTCATTAGGCAACAAGTTGAAAAATACCATAATTTCTTCCTCTACCAGTTCTCATATTATCCTTTAGTGAAGGAAATCAACCCGAAAATGAATTCACTTTTCCAAACCAAAGATTTCTGAAACTAAGCACTCCTCCATCTTACTGGCTGAGCAGTTCATCCTCAGCGCTAAGACACCAGTTTATCAGCTACTGTATGCAGTAAAATGACTTAGCTCGTCATCACTAACAGACATTTACAGCTTAACTTAGAGTATGAGTAGTTCTTGGAAATATTTTACAACTCATATCTTTCTTAAATTCAGTTACAATTTCTCCCAATTCCAGTGGGTCAAATTATACACTATAACTTACAGATCTACAATAGAGCAAGCGCAGTACCTTAAAAAGTACTACAAGTAAACTTGGAAATGCCTGTCATTGTTATTCAGTATTTATTCCTATCACTGTGAAAGACATTAGAAGCCAAAAACTAAGTCTCAGGATTAAGTGGCATGTTTGGTGTTGCTTGAACTTATAGCTAACTATCCCCAACGAACAGAGAAACCTTCTCTTACAATCTGAATCATGTGTAATTACAGTATGACAAGGTCTCTCCTGGGTGATGTAAGCTGGCATTTTTCCCAGGACTTGTCAAATCATGGGAACCACACATACAAATAAAAATCCAAAAATAAACATTTTGAAACAATGGCTTATAGTACGCACAAACTCCAATACTGGAAATTAAAATGTAGGAATACAACCAGCAAGCAGACATTTCCCACTACAGATCTCTGAGGAGTCACCAGCTATCAAGAGGATTACCATGCCTAGCAACAACTCCCAGGTGTTGGGTATGTGGGCAGCACCCTCAGGCTCCCTCAGGCTGGACAGAAAAATCATTAAGTCTGAGAAAGACAGGGCAACATCCCCATGCATGCACACCAACTGAAGCAGAGAAACAGCAGGAAAACCCAGCAGCAGGCTCTCTTCTTTGGCTTCCCCAGGTGGATCTGCTGATTGTCAAGACACCTGAACAAAGTTACTGCAAGAGCTACATCTTCTGCAAGTGAGTTGACCCACTTCATACAGTAAATATTGCTTCTTTGTTAAGTGCGCTTCACCTGGAAGTGAACAGCGGAGCAGCAGCAGTGATCATGTGCGCCAGGGGTCTCAGAAGGTGGTTCCTTTTGTTTAAACTCCTCAGCAATGGCTCTTCAGACACATGAAGGAGGACAGCAAGATTCCAAGACGCATCAGTGACAGAAACTTGACAACCCTCAGCTGCACCACAGTTTTGAGGAAGCATTCAGCATAAAACCTCTGATTGTATTTTGATATAGAGTCTTAACATGCTACATCTTACTTCGTACAGGTCACACACATTCTTAGCTTTCTGACAGAAACTGAATGCATCTGTTAACCATCCAACAAAGCCCATCTCAAGTTTTCAGAGGAACTAGAAACCAAACCACGAAAGGTAAAAAAACGACAGCTTACTTTCCATTCCATGAGCTCTAGAAACACAAACAAGCTCAAACACAACCCTCTGTCACGTCTAAAGCACAAGGCAGCTCGCCTTCCTCTATTCAACCCCCAAATGTTCAATAATTTCCACACAGCTCGAAGCAGAACGGATTTATTATGATGTTACTCTAACAAGCTGCAGGAGTTCTAGATGCCAATAAAGATTACGGATCAAATGGAAGCTAACTACTAACCATTGTGTTGACTTAGATAAATAAACCTGCTCACAAACAAAGCACCTTATTGTATTTGTACTGTTACCTCCACTAATCCAACGAAAACAACCAGACAGGAGCTTTCCAGAAACCCAAGGCATTAAGAAACTGGGATTTCTCATATCCATTTAAATTTCTTCTAAAATGACAACTCCAGTTCTTTTTTCCACAACTGTCCTGCCCTTTATGGAGGACGTTTGGGGCTGCAGAAGCTCAGCAGGATTATGCAAACTAGACTTCAAGGATAAGAACCAAGGTAGAGAAGGACTGAAGGAAAAAAGACGACACAACATGCTCCTGGGAAAACTTAGCTTCTACCTTTGCAGGAACCCTCGGGCTCCCACTCCCTGCACACCACAGCCAGCAGACACTGCTCAAATCCAATGGTTCATCAACTACTTGGGGGCAGCGAGGGGTGAGAGAGCAAAGACTCCCCCCCAACTCTACATAAAACCCACACATAGCTGGGGTGTGGCGCTGCACCCACAAACAGCAAAATCCAGGGCAACTGATACCCAGTGCCTCACACACACTAAGGCAGAGAAGACCATAAAGAGACTAAGATGGACTTCTAGAGGCGGGAACAATAAATACACATCCGATGCATTCTTTGCTAATAGCACAGGTAAATCTCAATTTCTCCAGGAAAAAAAAAAAACAGGCACCAACTGTTTATTCTCCCAGCGCCATTCTCCCCACCGCCAAACCCAACAACTAATTGCACCTTCCCCACAGAACCCACCGCTAACCCCAGAGGACTGGTGAGAGCTGGTTTGGGATGAACAAGCACTCGACACCTGACGGTCCTTTCTCTAGGGCGACTTTCACCAAAACCCAAGTCGCACGCGCAGGGGTGGGAGCCTGAAGCAGGTCGGCAAGGCGCCGGAGCTCCCGGGTCGCCGAGCGTGGCGCCGGGGGCGAAGAGTGGGGCAAGGGGACCGGCTGAGCCACGCGATTGTTTCTTGGCTGAGCCAAGACATTTTTTTAAATCAAGCCCCTTTTGTATCCGGAGCCCTACCTCTTTTTGGCCTAGGAAAGCTTTCGTGCAAGTGGAAGACGACTTTCTCCACAAAGTGCTGTATGTTACTGTGCTCCGGGCCGCGCACGAACACCATCCAGTCGTGGGTGAAGCCCTCCACGGTGGGTTTTTTCCTCACCTGGGCGCGGTGCCCCAGCTCCAGCTTCACCTGCACGGCACACTGCGGGCAGGGGGAGGAGAGACAGCCGTGAACAGGAAGGCGTTCGCACTCAACATTGCGCCTGACATATTTTTTCCCCTCCTTGAAACGCACATAAAAGGAAACGTCGCTGCCCTCTACATCCACGTTTCACGCGCGTAGGCGCGCGTACCCCACACCCCCAAACCCGCCGTACCCGGCCGGCCCGACCCGGGGAGCCCCCCAGCACCCTCCCGGATTGTAACGGAATGTTATCCCCCAAGCCCACCAGGAGGTCGAGGGAGAAGCAGAACATACTAGTCCGACACGCACAACAAATGCATCGGAAACAAATTAGAAGACAATCAGGATGCGGTTAACCGGGCTGGTTCCCGGAGTGGGAGAGGAGGTAGCTGGAACCACGGGGGTAGGTTGGGGTAGGGGGCTCCCAGCGGGCCCCCTCCTCGAAAGTACCGCGGCGACAGGCACACGCCGAGGAAGTCTTTGTGTACGTGTGATGTGCGTGTGCGTGCGTGTGGAGCGCTTTGCCAGGCGGAATGGAAACTACAAGCAGCCTCTGCTGATGGGCACAAACTCCCGTGCTCCCACCACAGGGTTCATGCACAACAAAAATGAGACGTCGTCACACTGCACACACAAACACACACACACGCACACACCGCAGGAAAACACGCTGAGGCATCCATAACTTAAAGCACCCCGCACCCCTCGGAGCAAAGCCCCACGCGACCAGCGAGGCCGGACGAACGGAGCCCCCGCAACACACTTCCAAGAGCCAAAGTGGCCCCAAAGTACGTCCCACCTCCCCCACCACCGTCGCCGCCGCCACCACTACCACCACCACCACCGCCGCCGCCACGCCGCCTCAAAAAAAAAAAAAAAAAAATGAAATTCAGAAAGGCAGGGCGGCGGACCGACGGCCGCCGAGCCTGGGCTTGCGCAGCGCCCGGCGCTGGGGCAAGTTGCGTGCAGCCCGCCGCTGTCAGCCCGCACGCTGGGGCTCACACACGCGCGCGCCACGGAGAACGCACCATCGTAGCGGCCGCGGCGTTTTGCGGAGGTGCGGCCGCCGAGGCTGCTCGCCGCGTCCCCCGACCGTGCCCGCAGCTCCCGGCGGCGGCGGCTGAAATATGGCTGAGTTATTATTCGCCTCCTTCCACCGTGTGCGAGTGTGTGTGTGAGTGCGCGCGTGTGAGCGAGAGCGAGGGTGTAAGTGCGCTTCTTGCGATTGCAAAGAGGCGAGGAGGGGAGGGAGGCGCGGGGGGTGGCGGCGAGTGTGTGCGAGTGTGTGTGTGAGTGTGTGAGTGTGCGCGCGCGCCGGGCTGGGGGAGGAGGGGAGCGGAGGCTGGGGAGAGGCAGCAGCTCCCTGCAAGCCGAACCAACCTTTCTCTAATTGGAACCGCGGAGCGCTGGCGCTGTCTGGGCTGCGGCGGCGGCGGCGCAGGGAGAGGGAGGGGAGAGGGTGGTCTTTTATTATTATTTTTGCATGTACTTACCGAGCTAGCCATGCCTGGGGGCCCGGAGGTTTGCTGGGGTGCTGTGTGGTACCCCGTCCCCCGCCCCCCCTCAGCTGTAATTCATGAAGAGGCTGCTATGAATGAGAGCGCGCCCGGGAGCGGAGGGTAGATGGCGGACATTCTCTGCCCTTTTTTTTTTCTTTCTTTCTTTTTTGCCCCCACCCCGCGCTCGCTCGCTTATTAAACTCAGCCCCAAAAGCAGCAGCAGCGGCAGCAGCAGCAGCAGCAGCAGCTCCGAGGCCGGAGGATGATTCCGGAGCATGCGCCGTGGCGCCTGACACTGGGGCTCCCAGCCTCTCGGGGCGGAGGGAGGGCGCGCGGGCGGGGCGGAGCGCGCGGGGAGGCCGGGCGAGCCACGGGGAGCTCGAAGGAGCCAATCGGCGGCCACCCCCGAGCCCCCCGGCAGTCCGCAGCGCCTCGCTGGAACGCGGCGCTTAAAGTAACAGGTTCCTGCTGGGGCGGTGGGGAGGAGGGGCGGGGAGGGGGGCGCAGCCGTGGGGAGAGCGGCCAGCTGGGGAGCCACCCAGCCCCTGTGTAAACTCCGATCGCCCTACAATCAAAAACGGATTAAAACTGCTGGAATGCAGCCACTGCCTAGAGCCCCGAGCAGCCGGAGAGAGGGGGCGTTAAATCAAGGCTTTGACGCTCGTTAGCACGTTTGGGGGTGGGGGGCGGGAAGGAGGGTGGAGGGTGGAATTGGGCTTGCTTTTTTTCTTTTTTTTTTTTTAACTTTCCACCACGCACCTCTGTGGTTTCGTGCCGAAAAGGCAAGCACTCACACCCAAACAAACTTACTTAAAGAGAGAGCAAGATCAGTGGCACCTACAAAAGCAAGCCATCCCAAACGGCAATGTCTGAGAACCCTCAGAAATCCGCGGGCGCCTCCCACCCCACCTACTCGCCGGGCGCCCGCCCACCAACCACCCTCACTCCCCGCCGGGAATTTTCGAAAAGCAATGAGCAAGACAGAAACAAGAACGCAGTTTCCTTGGGAATCCCCGGCTGGGAAGCTTCGCGGAGCTGTGCCCAGGTGGAGAAGGCGAGACACCTGGGAGTGCCCGGCGCAGACGCTCGGGACCCAGCTAAGGATTTGTTTGCAAGGTTGACCCGCCTGACAGCCTACGGGGGTTGCATCAGAAGGCGCAGGATGGTCCTCGGGGGGCGCGCCGAGCCTCTGCGACTCGTAAACTAGCAGATAAAGTTAATACTGGCTGTAATGTGCATAAATGGGATTATAATCTTTAAACGTACAGCGACAGCCAACGTAATCCATCTCGGGGCATTAATCCGGTTAGGCTCCCGGGTGGCGGCGAGTCGCGGACGCCGCGCTCTTGCGAGTGTCCCGGCTCGGCTGGCCTTGCGCCCCTGCGGCCAGTGCGCCCCGCCGGCCGCGCGTGGGGCGCGGGAGGAGCCATGGCCCGCTTCCTTTACCGGCGCTGACAGCTTCGAGAAAGGAAGAGGATAAGATCTCGAGGGCTGATCTGAAAGTGAAAGATGGGTGTGACTTGGGTTCGTTAGAAGATTCTTGCATCTTCCCAGCCCGATCCTTCTAAGGCCCCGAGATCTTTTCTTTACGCCCCTGTCTCAAACTTTGCCTCGGAACTTCTTTCCCAACTTTTCCTTCCCTTCCTTCCCCTCTCCTGTCTCTCTTCCTTTTTCTAACTCTGCTTTCTTGCTCTCCTCCTCCTCTTCTTTTTCTTCTTCTTTTTTTCTTTCATCTTTCCACCTAAAACCATAAAAATCCTTGAATGGAGAAGCAAAATAAAGACAAAGTTACCTGGGACACCTGGGGGGGCTTGCTGTTAATTTTCAGTTTTCGCGGCTGCTCATAAAAAGCTGGTGCGAGTCAGGTCGGACCACTTTGAACCAACTTTATATTCCAGCCCAGTTGGCTTGCTTAAAACTCTGCTCTCCCCCAGTGAACACCCAGAAACGCCTTTGGGTTATAGACCCCGGCTCTTCCCAACAGTCTCCGCTATTTCGCACAGAATGCAGCAAGCTGGCATGGGAAGAAACATTTTAATGTAATCACAGCGCTTAGTTTTCTCAGCTCCCCCACTTGCGCCTAAGTGCCTGTCATGCTGTGGGTTGTTTTGTGTGATTAGGGAGGCGCTCTCCACAGGCGCATATCATGGGAAGCATGGACCGAAAGAGTATACTTTACCAAATTTCTGATATAATAATCAAATGTGAGAGAAGTCTTTTTGGTGAATAATGAGACAAGAAACCAAGGTTGCCTCAATGTGTCACGAATACAGCCGTTTTCCACCCAGCGGTGACCCTAAGGGGCGGCTGTAACAAGACGCAAGTTAAAAGCAACCACTTGGTGCCCGGTTTGCGTGGATTTCAGGGTTTGGCCAGCTGCGCTCCCTTGGGCTTTTTTCCAAAACCCCATGCTCTCGCGAAGCACTGATCTTTCCCTCTGAGATTGTGTGTTTGCTTAACTCAAAGTTATCCCGGCGCTCACAAGTAAGCCAAAGAGCGGGAGAGGGTCTTTCCCGCCCCTTACCTTCCTTTCTCTAAGAATGCTTTCACTCTCCCAAGCACTGTAGTTCCCACTCTCCAAACCCTGCGGGTTCGGATTCCGTCAGTAGATGGCGCAGGGAACCCTTCATAAGGGCGTCCTTATGTGACCTCTGTGCAACAAAAAGACCAGGGCCGGGAGAAAAAGAAAACAAAACCCAGAATACTCCAGAATCAATTTTGGATAAAGGAACTTAGGCCTGCCTTTCTATTTGCTCTTTGTTGCTTATTTCAAAAACTGAAGTATTAAAAACAATTACAGAGTGTCGCATTGCTTTCTTTCCAGCATTGCTGAAGATAGATCACACTTCTCAGCGAAAAGCAACCTATCCAGTACCAGATAATACAATTGTAGAAAAATGTATTGCCATTAAATATATAGACAAACCTCGGTATTGAATACTAAAGGAAAGATAATAAAATTAAAATGGAAGTATCGAGGGAGCAAACCAAAGAAAGGATAATTATCTTTCCCGAAAACATAGCTCAACAGGAAGTCTATAGAGTTATTTTGAGGAGCAGAACAGAAAAGCAATTGACATGCTATCAGATAAAGCAAATGATGAAGAACAAAAGGGGACCATCGATGTGACAGCTAATCCTGAGCTGTCAGCAGCAGCACAGCCTTCCTATGGTCATTTTGGCTCTGGCTGCTATATGCTATTATGTGTGTTGATTTATTTAGTTTGAGTTGATGCCAGTTTGATTGCTGCCATTAGAGCCACACAAGGGCCACCAATCTGAAAGTATGGTGTAAATGAGCAAGCTCAAATAGATGTTACCAGTGTGTTATGATAGGTTATTGATGCACAAGCTCAAATAACCAAACCAATACAACTGGCCTATTGTCTGTTCTTGGCCATCTGGAGTAGGGGGGTGTTAGAAGATACATGAAAAAAGCCAAACCATGGAGCAGATAGTAAACAGAGATTCTGAAAACCTAAAGGGAAAAATGATGGATTTCTTTCCCATAATTGCACACTTTTTATGTTTTTCATCTTTGTGTTTATTCATCAAAACCATCCCATGAATCAGGCACAGAGTTAGGCTGGGAGAATGTATGAATGACAACTTTCCTGTTTTCTCAGAAGCCGTAACCCAGGAGGCAAGTATCTCCAAAACCATTCTTCTTATGTTTTTAATTTCATATTACTTAAACGAGATAAAGATATGTGTCATGCATAAGCAAACACCCTAAAAATCTGACACAAACAATCCAAGGACAAGAATAATAGCATTACAGCATTTGAAGCTAGGAATTGTTGCCCTCAATCTCACCTTTTAATACTTAAAAGAGAAGGGGGTAGCTTTCTTGCAATAGTAGCCAATTCCTAATTTCCTTTCCCTTGATCTGAAATAGCCTCTGTCTTCACGTTAGTGCAGTTCTTCAGGGCGGGGTGGGGGAGCACAGGAATCCTCCACTGAGTGAAAGTCAGGCCTTTGAAGACACTGGCTATGTCCTCGCAGTGTGAAACAGTCCCTGTTTTGTATGGAAATGTTTGGGTTCAAAATGTTACATGTTGAACATTATATTTAATTCATGATGCTAGAAGCAGGTGTAGAAAACACCAGGTAGTAAGAATGATCACTACTTTAGAAAAAGAAAAAAAAATTGCTTTGATGTCACTTAAGCACCTAGTCCAGGACTATTTCCAGAGATAAGAAATACGGAGGATGTTTTAACCACCAGAGCCTCTTCATGTGTAAATTATTCCCTGAGACTAATTTCAGCAATGCATTTATATATTCAGAAGACGAGTGCTTCCACAATAATAATTTGTTAATTTAGTGGGCTGTGTCCCTAATTTAATAAATAGTACCTCTAGGCCTGAAAACTAATCAAGGACGTAATGTAAGATCAGCAATATGAAGCAAGATAAATTTGGGGAGGAGGAGTGGTCAGCTGATCTGATGTTGTTGAAAATGTCTCCTTCCTTATAGGAATCCTAACGGAATAGTTGTAAGTAAAATATACAGTCAATTTAAATTGCTTGCTGCAAAATAATGCATAAAGTAAACCATTTATACCCTCATGTATCTCCAGCTATCTCTTCAGAATCTACTGTACCATTTTCTATGTTACCCTGTATAATGATTTGAGCTCTTTAATTTCTAGGAGGAATTCAGTCTGTTTTCATTTTTTAATTCAGCTTGACCATTGTCATATTATGAATCAGCATTAAAGAATCATTTCATTCTACGATAAAAACTAGATCTTGCATCATTGGTAAAAAATGAAAAATAACACATCAGGCATAGGAAGTAGAAAACTCCAACATCAATTCAAACTACAAAAGAAGCTTAGAAAAAAGAAATCTTTCCCTTCACTGTACTAAATAGTGTGACAGTGGTTTGAACATAATACTAAGCCTATAAGAAGTGAGTGATTTACTACCTTCAGCTCAGATCAAGTGTCCTGGTTGGATTAAGCTATTTACAATCAGCCCCAAATAATCCATGACTGTATTTCCCACTTTGTAGATAATCCACAATGACACGATTTATGCGTGTGGGACTCTTAAAAATGTAAATCTGTGTTTGAAGCAGCTTTCTTAATACAGAAATGACACAGGATTGCATCTGTTTGTTAGTTTCCAGCCACAGTCTTTCTAACAGAAGAAGTTTATGTATTAGTCCAGCCTATCTCTTTTGGAGTGCTTTCTAAATTTTATTAAGGAAAACTTTCCAGTAAAACTTTCAAAATTTTATTAAGCAATTTGTCATCCCAGACA